TAAGCTGCTAACTCCGAAAACTGAAAAGTTAGAAGGCTGTAATTTTAAGGAAATGTTGCCTGTTCACATAAATCTCAATAAGCTCAAACCCAGACACCGGGTATACACGGTACCCACGTACGAGCCCGCCAAAGTCTTTTTCGGGTAAGTTGCTAACTCGGGGACCTGAGAAGCTCGAAAACTGGAATTCTGAAGAGATGTTTCCTGATAGTCCTGGCGGCCAGCCTGAAATCTGCTGGAAAAAACAGTGCCGTTAACGACGAAAACCTGCGGGGAATTGTGCAAAAAACGCATCCTCGCACGGGCAGTCCGTGCGTTGGCCAATTATTATCCTTCCACATTCGTAAACTGTATGCACTGCACTCTCTCTGTCACTTGAACTGTTATTCAGCATACCTAATTACCACACTACTGTACCACTGCATAATTCATCGGACATATATATACGTATATATGTATATACATATATCCACATGTACAATGTATATATATATATACATGTTTATATACATATACATGCATGTACATGTATATATATGTACATATATACGTATATATATATGTATATATATATGTATATATATATGTATATATATATACATATACATGTATATATGAAGAGATGTGACTAGGCAATCAACCGCACAAAAGCTGCCACAGCTACAGAACTTCAGCAGCATACAAACTTGAAGCATTACAAGAGAAGCGACTGTGTGGCCCTCATCCCTTTCTTTAGAATAAATAAATCGCAAAAAAGCGAGATGAATAGTTTATTCCATAATAATTGAATGGATATATGAAAAATCACCGAGGTCGAGTTCAAAGACAAAAAGAGTATCGTTCTCCAGGTTGATGCTTCTCAACAATCTGTGCCTCTTTTGAAACCTCCCTCCATTCCCCTTCCTCCTTTACACAGGAAGATTGAAAGGAAACAAAAAGTTAGGATAACCGTGAAGAAGGCAAAGCTAACCCGCATACGGATATTCCTTTGCGTCAATGACTCCTCCTGCGCACCGAGATTCATCCTTTTG